CGTGACAGGTAGAAAACAATACGAAAAACATTTCTACATTGCTTAAAATAAAGGTAAAGTCTGAGAATGAAAAACATCTTTGTAGTTTTTGTTGTTAAAACAAGTTCGTATTTTCAGATGTAATTATACGGACAATGACGATTTTTTGATGAAAAAGCTGATCGACCGTACATCGCAGACAAAATCGAAAATTTCATTTCATTTTGACGAACTGAGGCGAAGCTAACACACTGAAAAAAGGAAACCAAAATGTGAATTTTTTAACTATGTTTGAAATAAATCATGAAAATGAAGACTGAAACTATTTGCAAATCGACCCCTCAGCTGAGCTTGCACAGGGAATGATCTTTATTGTCAAAGTACTTTGCATTATGATTCATAATTTACTTTCCAGAGAATAAAGTATAATATAGTTTAATTTAGTCTTGATAAATATAGTTCAAGTGAAATAAAGTAAGAAATAATAAATAAAACAAAATATTGCCATATAAAAGCAGAATAAAGGAATGATGTTGATGATTGTGGTTGTTGCTTATTACAACAATAATATTGATCTGTTAACACTGAATCATCTTCTTTTGGATAACTTCTCAGCACTTTCCGATTATTTAGGGGTTGTGGTTCTCGAAAGTCTTCAAAAAATACATGTTTGTGTAATAATTTTAACTCATCATCAGAAAATTCTATTCGGCCATGAAATATTATCCAGATGACATTTTCAGAACATGGTGGTGTTGTTAGACTATAACACAAATACAAACAGTATATGTACGATTACTCTAGAAGAAAACTTTTTTTCGATATACTCCACTCATGCACAAACTCTGTTTTTCTACCGTACCAGTGTGCACTGATATTATACAGAAGATGTCACATCGGTCTTTCAGTATGAAAACTGAAGATGCTATACAGTTATCTGCATATGTTGCACCTTGTGTTCTTCCAACGTGTGCCAGTGATTGTCTAAAAACAAATAACCATTCCCACACTGATATGGCACAGCTAGTACATTAGCGTACCATTGCTGATGAAACGTTGCATTGCGCCGACATGCCACATTTTATTCTACTCAAGTGGCACTTGCTGTGGAAACTGAATGTATTTTATTTAGTTAATTACATACCTTCCATTATACCACCAAAAATCTTGAAAAGTATTCGTTTGGGCGTACATTAATGCTGACAAATTCCCTTCAAAGACTATTTTGATAACCAGTTGAAGATAACGCCAACAAATCGATACACTTATTTTTTCTCTTGTTCTGTAATGATGAAGAAAATTAATTATAGAATGGAAAATTCTGGCTTATATTCTGTCTTTATTCAACACATGTCTTTTACGTGATTTTCCGTTGTCTTCTTAACATTTACACTGTTTACCACAATACTCAAGCTATCTTCGAGAAAAGACGCAGGTATCACGTGAAATTTGTATAAATTATGTTTCATAAATTTTTCTGACATGATCTTCACTCTTTGAGAGCAATAGGACGAATTTTCTATGATTTCTTTCTCGCAGAACTGGTGTCTACATGCAAACAAGCACAGAAACTAAGAAATTTTTACGCTCCATACAAGACTATTTTCAGAAAAACCTGGTCCCGGTCGCATTAAAAGTCCTGCGGGTTCCGGACCATCCCGCAGATCTCTTGATGTCGGTCCCATAAAAAGTCTCTCGAGATCGAGAATGGGACGATCCCCCAGACCTCTAATGCCTATTGCTTGTGTATATGTATGTTTTACGTTATAAATCTGAAAGAACAAAATAAGGAAAGGAGAAAATTTTATACTTTTATCGAAACGTTCATTTATTCGATGTTTGAAAGAAGCAGTTCTCACTGCGAATTTATCCTATATTCTGCAAACTTCCCGATTTAAAATTCAATTAGTTAGAAAAGATCTATTTCTACTTTTTATACTAGTTTGAAGTACACAAGTTGTACTATATACAGGGTTGCGAGAAATGTTTTGCCCGGGGGTATAGCTCCAATGACAAATGATATCAATATTGAATTTTATACCAAATGAAAGCTCGTGAAAAATGGGGTTAACAGGTACAGTTAATAATCCGATAGACTATTGTCACCTATATAGAACGAAGTGAATTTCTAGATAAAGGCGAATCCTGGACCGGTCAATATTTTCGTGACACAGTTTTAGTTCAACACGTGTTTCCTTTCTTGAAAAATGAAGAAAACGTGATTGACGTGGATGAAGTCATATTTGTTCACGATAAAGCACCGTGTATGAAAGCAAATATGACTCAACAATTGATAAAAGACAACAATATCAAGTTTTGGGATAACAATATTTGGCCCTGAAATTCACCTGATCTAAACGTAGCTGAACACATTGGAACAATAATCAAAGATGAAGTTGAGAAAAGAATGCTGTCAGAGACTGAAAGTGATCGGTATAGCGAAGAAACATTGAAAAATCATATCATCGATGTTTTGCAAAACATGGAAACAGACACAGAACTTTTTGAAAACCTTTTATGTTCATACCCCTCAAGATTACGTGGTGTGAAAAAAGCGAACGGTGGTCACACAGATTATTGGTTATGCTAATAAACTTCAAAAAGAATAAACATTAAACTAATAAATCTATCAGTTTAAAGTCAAATAAATTTCAAACAATATCTTCTGAAAAAAGGTTTTCTCAGTCGTGTTTCCTTCCCTATCCTAAAATTTTCAGTAAATCTATAGTCAATGACTATCGATCACATTACCAACTATACCTGTTAACCCCATTTTTCACGAGCTTTCATTTGGTATAAAATTCAATATTGATATCATTTGTCATTGGAGCTATACCCCCCGGGCAAAACATTTCTCGCAACCCTGTACTGATGTATTGTCCAGAAAAGATCCCGTAGATATATGACTCTCAATATTGGTGATTAACGTTTGAAAAATCATACTTCTTCAGTAGATAAATAAAGCCTTTTTGATTACCATGACTTTCAGGCTTTCTCTTCGGGTCATGATAGAATGTCAGCGATTTACTGGTCATACTATCTCGTTCTCTGTGTATAACACGACATTCAGTGACTATCAAGTAAATTTAATACAAGCAAGTTAAAAGTAAAATAATCAGAGAGAGACAGAAAAAATGGTCAGTTTCCTGCCCGGATGATCCGAGTGTTTTAACGGCTAGCTGTAAAGAAAAGACTCCAATATCAGTAAAGAACAATTTAATTCGCTAAAGCTGATCGATGTATGGAGTATAGCTTGTGTACTAGATGGACGTAAAATCAAAGTTAAGTACATTCTAGTTAATTGTAACTGACGCAATAAAGTGTAATTTCATAGTGAGTGCTGTCTTGTTATATGAATAATTCTATGAAAATCTAAAATATGTTCTTTTCTTAGTTTCTTGTCTTTTATATTTATCTATCTATATACGTGTACAGAAGAAAGAAGATTAAAAAGAAAGAAAATTGACATCAAGCAACAAAGTGAGAAAAGAAGAAATTATATATTTTCTAGCAAATGTTTCATGCACTTACTATGAAATTACTCTAGATTCTGTCAACTTCACAGGTTAAAATAAAATTAAGTAGAATATACCTCTCTCTGATTTCTATGCCAGTTTGAAGTACGCAAGTTTTATTTTTTGTTTATATTTTGATTGATTCTTTTCAAATAAGGCCTGCGAAAAAATTTGTAATAAAGTTATACGATGGTAAAGTTGAATGGGTGGTCCTGTATCAGATAGTCGATCTCAGTTTTCTTAATTGTCGTTGTCCACCACAACTATAACCAAGAAAAGAAAATTACACAAATTTGCGAGAAAGGCAAAATGCAGGTGTTGAAGGATGAATAATCAAACTAAGAAAAATTTTCCACTTAAACCTACTTTACTGACGTTTTCGTGTCTTTTTCTTCATAATTATTGCGATGAACAACATCTCTTTTAATTTTATTTTTTCAAATTTTAAATGGAAAAAAACTTTATTTTATCGTAATTTTATCCAGACAATGACGAAAACGTTTTATTATTTTGCTTCAAAACGGGTAAATATTGACAAACGTAGTGCTGGCGGCAAACAAATTCGTCATGACGTAGTCATCGTTGTCTGGATAAAATTACGATTAAATAAAGTTTTTTTCCATTTGTGCTGCTTACTTGCGAGGTTTCTGTTAAAATTTGAAAAAATAAAATTAAAAGAGATGTTGTTCATCGCAATAATGATGAAGAAAAAGACACGAAAACGTCAGTAAAGTAGGTTTAAGTCGAAAATGTTTCTTAGTTTGATTATTCATGCTTCAATATCTGCATTTTGCCTTTCTCGCAAATTTGTGCAGTTTTCTTTTCTACAATTTACATAATATCTAGATGTTCAGATATTCAGATGTTAAAAATCTTCAGCTCTTCTCACTCACTCTCATCTCTCCGACTCCCCTAAATATCTAAATATCTAACATTTGAATATCAGAATATCTGAACATCTAGATATTATGTAAATTGCAGATGTTCACAAATCAGACTCTACTGTATTTTCTTTAATTGATTTGGTGATCAAAAGTGTAATTTTTTGGTGATCATTTCGATAGGATGAAATTTGGTGACCAAAACACATTTTCCCCAAACGAAATCCGTCATCTTGAAAGAGCGATGGATAAGGTAAACACTGCCAGTATACACGTCGTATTTGAATGATGAAGCTGGAAAAGTAATAAAAGCGCTATTTCAATCTGTTCTATTTATTTTCAATTTTTTTAAAAAGAATTCAAATAGTAGACATTTCAAGTGAAAAGAATAATATAAGTAGGATAGATAAGTGAGTTTAAAAATGAACTTTAGGCTTAGGTCTTATTTATAGAGCAGATTACCCAATTATATTCCTTGAGGGAAAACACTTCATTCCTCTTTCTATTAATCTATTTTTGAGTTTTTTGTCTATAATGGACATTGGGTTTTTGTTTTCTTTAGAGTTAAACAGTGAAACTAGGACCATCGTTCGAGAGCATGGTCAGAAATCCTGATATTAAAACAATGAATAATAGCAAGGCTTATACAAGTCTCCAGAATAATCCAATAACTGCAGCTACAAGGACGTCTAATCAGCCGACAGAACACCTCTCAGTATTTAGTCTTGAACGTGTTAATCTTGAGTCATATCAGTTAGTGTGGTTAGGTTCAAACATTAATAGTATTGAAGAAGGCTACAGTACAGTTACCGTAAAAGGTCTTCGAAAAATTGTTGATTATACAAAATTATTTGATAATGTTAATAGATGTAAAGCATATATTCAACAAACAAATGATACAATAACATTTTTAGTTTGTTCAGAGCAATTAGGAGAAATATTTATTCCTCAGATTCATGATCTTGAAAATATTTGGTCAATTTATATTTATTGTAATAATAAAGAATATCATCAACAATGGACTACAAAATATTCAAAAGTGAGTCTGCAGCAGAAGAAACTGTACAGGTTTGTTATTAAACTCCGTTTTGTCATCATATTTCACTAATTTTTTCTGATGAACTCAGACAGGTTAGTCAAGATCGAAAACTGATTCAAAAGATTCCATAATTCGTTTTCTTCTTCTATTATCTTGTGTTCAATGATGCTATGAACTTCTGACTACGTTCTTGCCCAAGTAGAAAAAAATATCGACTTTCGGGTGATTTAGCTAGCTAGCAATTGAATTAGGTTATTTACTCTGGGGCAATATAGCTAGCTAGCACGATACATTACTAGATATAACTAGCTGGCTATATAGCAATATATTACTCGATATATCGACGATCGGATTATTCACCTTTTTTATTTTGCAGCCACTGTACTATGTATATAAAACACCTTACACATTTATGAAGTATTTATTCATATCTGAACAATATACTAAGAATAATAGACCAATATATCAGGGAATATTGCTTTCTGTCAATATATTACAGAAAGTCTGTATACAGACATCTCGGGATGCAATGTAGACAGCATCCTTCATACGATCAATACGTGTGTCAATATATCGGACAATAATTGGTCAATATATCTAATTTCATAGCTAGTGGCGCAGTGATATCAGATACTGTCCACAATATATCGGACGATAATTGATCAATATATTGACTAAATAGCTACTCTGATCGGTATGATATCTGGTCGCTAGTTATCATACCCGATATAGCTAGCTAACTCAATAAAAGTGATACGGATAGCTAGCTACCACAAGCCGATATTGTCCGATAGCATATTTTTATAGCTAGATATTCTTAAAGACATTTTTTTTGCTTGGGTCTCATGGAAACCCATGGTCCACGAAATTATAACCTTTTGATATCATAATACAAAAAATCTAATCACGTTCATCACGTTCTCTACAGTCATCAGACGAAATAGTCTGACATTTTTCATAAATAAATGGTAGAAAGAGATCTCTAAAAGAAGTAGCACTACTTTAAAGAATCTGATTTTAGATAAAGCAAGTGCATATAGCGCTTGAAGATTTATTGAATGACTTGACACAAAACGTACAGAAATATTTAAAAAACGAAAACTACCTCCTATTTAGTGAAGCAGACTTAGAACTTACAAGTGAGATTTTATTGGACAAACAATCTACCAGAACATTATTATGCGATATTCTTTGCTATTTACCATATCCCGAAAATTATTGCCATAAACTTATTAATTTATTAAAAGTATATTATAATGGAAATACTGCACAGTTACGTATATTACAAGAATTTGAACGTGATTATAGACCAGATAGAGCAATTTCATGGTATACACGTGGTACATGTTTATTTAATCTCATAAATAAAGCATTTCGTCAAAATAATATTGAGCTGGTATTTTTATTTGGATTTTTTCTACAAGATCTGTATCGACAATTAAAAGAAGAACATAAAAAATTCAAGAAAGCAACCATAGAGAATCCACTAATAAAAGTATATCGTGGTCAAATAATACGTAAAAGAGAAATTGGAAGACTTATTCATTGGCGTTCTTTTTACATAGCGGCCAATAGTGCTTTCTCAACGGCTCTTGATCGGTCTGTTGCATTGGCTTTTTTAAATCAATCGGCACAACCAAATGATGAATTTCAAAGTGTTTTATTTGAAATTGAAATTGATGTTCGATTAACAACTCGTCCATTTGCCAATATTTCACATTTAAGTAATTTTTCCGATGAATTAGAGATTTTATTTATAAATAGAACAGAATTTAAATTAGAACATATTTTTTATAATGAAGATGAAAATATTTGGATTGCTACATTGAAACTGATTAATGATGACGATATGAAAAGCCCAAAGGAGTTTGAAAGTACAACTAAGAGAAAATGTTTAAAGAATTGTCTTAGTGCATTGTATGATCCTGAATCTGATTACATACGCGAATCTAAAATAATAATTATATTTTTAAATAAATTAAGTGACTTATTTCCATCAGAAAAATGGATTTTAGCATTTAAATTTTATTATATTGGAAGTAATGAATCACAAGACACAAAACAAACGGGATTCGATTTGGCATTCTCGAACTATGAAGAAGCATTGAAAATTTGGTTTGAATATGTAGAAGATGATGAACTAAATTGTTCTATGGACAAGGGTGTAATTCATCAAAAACTTGCCGATCTATATGTTCACATCAAAAATAAAAATTTAGCTTATAATCATTACAATTTATCTATTTCTTATTATCAATCAGCAATTAAAAAAGCAGTTACAGATTGTGAACGATTATATGCAATATATCAATTAAGTCAGGTGTACGACAAAAAAGCAAATCTAAAGAAAAATGAACAAGACATTTTGGTGGCTATAAAATACAGTGAATTATATGTAAAAAATATGTTACAATTTCGTTCACCTAATAGTTTAACAGTAGCAAATTGTTTTAAACTTTTAGCTATTCTATATCGATCGACATCTATCGATAATGCTTTGATTAATTTTCAAAGAGCTTTGAAGATTCACACAAAACGAGAGAAATTAGATACATTAGAAATTACTTCGCTTTGTAAACAAATAATTGATATCTATATGCACTATAAACATGATTATCGTTCAGCACTTAAATATCAATTAATTAATCAGGAACATATAATGAAACAAATTGTCCAGTCTACAGCTACGTTACTTAAAAAATATCATTTAGCTGAGAGTTATGTTAAACTATCTGATATTTATGTACTATTAAATGAGAATGATAAAGCTTATGAAAATCTAATTAAAGCAATGGAATTACATCAAGAAAGCGATCTAATCTCCTTCGCTAAAGGGAACATTGCAGATATTGAAGTAAAATTGGCTCATATTCATGTGATATCCAAGGAATATGACTTAGCTAATGAATGTTTAATAAGTGCAATAAAACTTTATAAAGAAAGTTCATCAGACTGGTCTTACAATCGAAAATGGGTACGCTGTTTAGCAGCGTGGTTATTGGCTTGCTTGATTACCTGGTGGTACGCACTATACAGTGGAGTGGGATTACGGGAGCCATTGTTTTCGATCAACCTATGGAAAAAATAGAAATTCAATAATTCAGGAATAAAATGATATGAAAAGCCGAAACTTTTGGGGATGTAAGGAGACTATTGGGTAAATTATAAAAAAAAGGTTCAGCCTTCCTCTTTCTTTACTTTCACTGAGATATGAAAGGACGGCGGACGATCTTCATCCACATTTACAGTTTTAACCGTTATCTGATGATCTTCCCAAAATTTTGACCTAACCTTTGGCGTATTCTTGCGAGCAACGGTTCGAACTCACTTGTTTTTATATAAATATCTTATTTTTTCAATATTCGTCTTCGGCATTTCTGATGACCATCGGTTGGTTATCATGGCTTTAGAACAATTTTGACCGCATTTGTGTCGAAGCTGAAGCTTTACCGATCAAAAACCAAATGAGCGATACATCTCAGACAATGATTTTTCAATAAACCCTAAAAAATAGTTATTTATGGGAGAGATTCGTTTGAGTACTTGAACATCTCTCCTGCGCACCTCCAGTACACCAAACTTTATTTGACATTAATCGGAAGCGCACAAAAATTTTTATACTACTATGGTTTTAATAACATTAATTGAAGTTTATTAAAACTGAAAAAACAGAATTTTGTAGAGTTTACAGTGAGTAGCCGAGTACTTTTGACACAAGCACAGAATCCAGTATGCATATTTACCTTGGGAGTATAATTCTAAATTCGTATTATATCATTTTACGAAAGTTGAAAAAATCATCAAAAATTGAAAAAATCAAATTTTATGGGATTTGTAGTTGCAAGGCATTGAGTTGAGGCAAATTGCATCTTGTGGGACCTAAAAGTCCATGTCGAATAGATACGGAAAACGTATGGAAGCGGCCTTGGGGATTCGAGACTAGAACAAAAAACGAGCGTAAAACAGGTAACAACTCAAAAATCTCCCCCTCACTGGTAATTTTTCGATTTCAGTTTAAAAGCTATGAAAGTTTTTGTTTTACCATTCGACGGATAATGAAAAGACAAGTCGAACGCACTATTTGAAAGTGATTTTCCATTTTGCTGAAAATCTACCTATCGCAAAAAGGACCCAAACCGGGTTTTCAAAACCCTTCTCAAAAGTTCCAAAACATTTTGAAATTTTTTTGACGATACCACGAGAAAGCCCTAACGCTTTACTATGTATTCCATAAAAAACTCAAGGTTCGCTACTGGTTTATACAGGCAATGGTTTAGTTTTACCGGATCCTCAAAACACAAACGAACGCAAATGTCGAGATTTGACGTTCTGTGATGCTGATATTTCCAAACATTTTTTTAACTCGATTTATGCTAACCCTACTCATGGGTCTTTCATTAAAAAAGCGTTTCAGCTAATGCGAACAAAGTCGATGTTAACATGGTACGTACTCCACGGAAACATCCTCATTCATTTCGAATTACTCTCTAACGACAGTATTCATGCAGTAGGCCCGACTACAACATTTTCGAAGCTAATAAAGTCGTGCTAACTGTGTCTGCATCAATTGTATCAAATAATTGCTGTGAGAAGGTCCCAGCTTCAGGAAGGGGCCAGTGAGTCGCAGATAAACGTTTCTTGTAAGTCTATTCATGATCCAAGGTCATCAGGGTATTTTTAATGAAAGAACGGATTTTTGCATGAAGCCTGTCAAAACTAGAGTTGCCGTATATCAGCCATTTTAAGTCAGAAACACACCAAATTTTTAGGAAACACTTAGAATAGTGTATTGATGCTGAGCGAGTTCTCAAATATGAGATTCAGCGGGTTTAAACGTCAAGGGTTTCTGGAAACCTTCTGTAAAACCTTAACCTGGAAAACCCACAATTTTGCAGTTTTACAAGCGCTATCTGATTTATGGTCATTTTTCATATATCTACCGAAAATCTGGTGTGTTTCTGACTTAAAATGGCTG